TCCTCTTCTTCTTCTTTTTCTTCTTCTTCTTCTTCTTCTTCTTCTTCTTCTTCTTCTTCTTTTTCTTCTTCTTCTTTTTCTTCTTCTTCTTCTTCTTCTTCTTCTTCTTCTTCTTCTTCTTCTTCTTCTTCTTCTTCTTCTTCTTCTTCTTCTTCTTCTTTTTCTTCCTCTTGTTCCGTTATGTTGTCAAAGTATCGGGGTCTGCAGATGACAAAATTGTTGTTTGCATTTGCAAGACCTTAGTGAATTTATGTCTGAAAATAAAAAAAAATAGAAATCTTTTTCAATATCACTCGACTTTTTCAGCATTTTATAATATACTTTAGACACTTGTCATGGAACAAACCATCTGATAAAAAAAAACACATAGATTATTTTGGTAAAATAAGCTCACATGTGTTTGTGTGATTTTTTTAAATTGGAACTTGTCATAAATGATGAAATGGCGTAGTCTTAGAATATATTTTGTTCATATTGATTCTTCTTCCTCTAGATCTACTCCTTCTTAATTTTGAGAGATAACATTTTGTTTTGACTAGCATACAATCAGAAATAGCATTTCCAGCCACGGTCCGAAACAAATATGTGTTTAAACTTTGCAAAAAACAAAAAAAAAAAAAAGATTATTTGGGGAAATAAGCTAACATGTATTTTGTGTGATTTTTTTTTATTGGAACTTGTCATAAATGATAAAATGGCGTAGACTTTGAATAGATTTTGTCATACGGATTCTTCTTCCTCTAAATCAAAATTCTTATTGTGAGAGATAACATTTTGTTTTGACTAGAATACAATCAGAAATAGCATGTACCGACCAGGGTACAAAACAAATATGTTTTTAAACCTTGCAATCATTACTATTATCATGATTATGTAATTGTAGACAAGTATTGATAATAAAGTGTTACCTTACGATATCCTGGACAATCCAATCGTGTACGCGAAAACAAAAATATCAAACGAAACCTGTGCCGCCTTATTTGGAGCTAAGACCTGTACACTTTGCTTGAGGTAATTTTGTTTTGACTAGCTTCTATGAAAATCATTTTGGTGATGCACAGTGGGTTCAATGATTCTGGAACAACACAGTTTTACTTAAGAGAATTATTTTCTTCTAAATGGCATATTTATACGGGGAAAAAAAGGAATATGGAAAAGGCAAAAAGCAATAAACAAACAAAATACAAACCAAAAACACGCCCCCTTGAAAAAAGACAATATATAATACATAAAGAAAAAAAAGCACACACAGACTAACAAACAAAAACACAAACAAACAATTAAGAACAAAGAATATCAAGAAATTTGAATCCCTTATCTGTCATTGTTTGTTATAAGTAGAGCACTGAAATAAACATAAATAATCATAACAAAGGGGGGGGGGGGAGAGGGGCGGGGAAACCTTCATTAATAATGTAATTGTTTTCTAAATCAGATAATTAAACTGTCTTGCACTTTCAAAAGATCCCTCAAAACAAACGTTTCCCGTAGTAATTTGATATGATGTACCCATTATGTGAATGTTGTCCTGCTCTCCACCATTTTCTTTTGTAAGCGCTATGATACTGATCAATATAATTATATAAATATATCCGCATGAACATATATATTATTTTTGAGCAGATGATATAGAAATCAAAATCAAATCAAATCAAATCGTGTTAATATTACAGATTAGAAGGGGTGCCATTCGCAACATCAGGCCACTCGTCTACGGCCATGGTCTTAATTCGAAGGGTCGTCCGAAGGCTAACGTCACTTTAGATGACCTCGTGTCAATATTTGTAGAGGACAGGTCCCTTAGGACCAAGCTGACCTCTGGACCCAACACTTTGACCACGCACTTGTGTTTGTTGACCAAGTGCGGTCAGATTCACGATTCGGCATCCAGTATAGGCTTGCGTCCAGCCATCCCTTCATCACATACTCCTCGATATTGAATACAGCCGATACACTGTCGAGGATTTTTGATAATGGATTTAATTCATTATGAAGATTATCTTAAATTTTCATTTCTAGAAGAGGTACAATCCATGTTCTCTGGTAATTGTTCAATTTTGTCTCTCGCATATATTATGATTCCGATATTATATGGTATTGCCCATTCATATAACGTATTGTTTAATATGATTTGCAATATAAGTTGGTTTCTATACTTTGCCTTCTACTATAAGATGTATTTCATTATGTTCTATCTGTAAATTCAAGATGAAAGACATAATGAAACATAATATTATAAATTCATTCAGCCCATATTTTGTCAAAGTAAGGAGGCATATCAAAGAGTAATAATTTAAGAGGAGTACGGCATGAAAGGAGCGTCGGGGTTCAGGGGAATTTGGAATTGAAATGAAAAAGTCATAGGAGGAGAAAAAAAAAGACTGAATGGTACAAAGAAGACGTAGAGGGATTAATCAAGAGGAAAATAGTACAAATTTCGGAAACCGGAAATTAAAAGAGGCTATCTAAAAAACAAATCGTTAGCATCCCCTTCACTATCAGTAAGTAGGCTTGTCGGAAGGTGTGTGGTATCACAATGTCATCGTATATGTGCCAAGCACGAAAGTAGATCAAGGACTGCATGTCTCATACATGCATTCATAGGATCTCCCACTCTCCTCAAACCCACACTAATTTCAATAGAAGGATACATGACTGTGTTTGCGGATCTTGAGCGAGACATTATGCAATGTAGGATGTTACGGTCATCAAAGAAAAAGGTTTTGTTCGAAATGAGGACACATTATTTTATTTTTTTTCCTTTCTCAATAGATCAGCCCCTCTGCACTGCTGGGATTTTACTTATCATAATGTGAAAGAGGATGCCATTTAAGACAAACTTCTGCAAAGATTCCCCCCACCCCCCCCAAAAAAAATATAAGTTTGAAGACAAAATATTGATAAAAGAATTCATAATTTGGATTTTCTGTTGTACGCAGAAAACCTAAATTGTATTCTTTCATCAATATTCGACTTTAAACAAATTTGTTTTGGAAATCCTTGCAGAAAAGTGTCTTAAATTACATCCTCTTGCACATTATGATACAATAATTAAAGTGAAATTATGCCATCAGATTTTTGGGGCTCCCAACACTGTAGAGGGGCTTTATAATGCATGATTCGCAAATCTTGTTTGTTATAACGAAGATGAAACATTGACATTTCGGTCACAAAGAAAAGTATATGTAAACTGCAATATCTCTAAGTTCAAGTTGTAGATGTATTATTTGTAGCTCATATTTTGAATGTAATATTATAGAGTTATGAATCCCTAGTTTACATCAAGAGCAAAACATGTTTTGGTGATTGCTAGACTTTAGGTCAATTTCAATAACCTTGAGCGTTGCGTGTCACCTAGTTAAACGTGCGAACATTACGATGACATACATTATTACGTAACTCGAACATGAATTCTATCGGCAGTACAAAAGGGATATTAACTGTGCCATTGAGTTGATTTATCGAAGTCTCTTTGATCGTGAGTGGTGTGACCTAATTTCACGAACAGTGTCAAAGGATGGGTCCAAGGCATTGAGGGGGTACTGGTGTCAGAGGGGGCGGGGGGGGGGGGGCACCGGATTTGCAAAGTAGATGAGTGCGAATAAACAAGGACATCGCTTGAGTGGAAGTTCTGTCGTATCATCTTCATGTCACGTTTCTTTTCACATCCAACTTACTTTATTCTGCTTTATTTCTCTTTTCTTTCTCCCTTTCTTTCTTCCTTCCTTTCTGTCCGTTTTTCTTCTCTTGTCCTTTTCCTTCTTTTCGGTCTTTCTTCCTTCCTTTATCTTTTTTTCCCCTTAACTTCTGTCTTACTTTCTTTTCTTCCTTCATTCCCTCTTTCACTTTATTGTCTGTCCCCTATTTTCTCATTTCCCCCCCCCCTTTTTTTGAGAAGAGAATTATCATTCTGCATCATAAACTGTGTAGGATAGTAAACGAATAGGAGGACACAAGGGGGCGCTAAACCACTTAACGTATCGATGTCTGCTACAAAACAAGTGGCCGAGTTGAAATAGAATTAAATTTCGTTAGGATCAAATGTATCGTCGTTATTATTCAACATTGTTTCATATAGTCCTTCTACCGATGTTTTCACCCAAATTTCGTTTCCAATGGTTTTCGTCAGTATTGTCGTGAACACAGCTTCTAAAGAGTATTTCTGTAAAATCTCCTGAACATTGTACCTCCTGTCATTTTCATACTCATATCCATCTTGAGACACATTTATTCAAAACTGCTTTTGATGTTAATTTCCTCTGTTCACATAGATGTATATTTAATATGTATTGTAATTTGTAGGTTTATTAGTAATTTTTTGTTTTGTTTAATATGTAATTGTTTATTATTGCATTTTGTTTGTTATAGTGCTTAGAGACTCAGGTGGTAAGCGCTTCATAAGCACTGTTTTTTATTATTATCACCATCCCTACCACCATTGTCCATCATCATTATAATCATCATAGGTACCATCATCATCACTGCTTTCATAACAGGTATCATCACCATCATTATCACCAATGTTACCTTAACAGGTACCATCATAACAATCTTCATCATCATCGTCACCATCATGAAAGGTACCATCGTCATCATTACCATAACAAGTGCCATCTTTTAATAATCATCATCAGCATCATTATCACCATTGTACCCTTAACAGGTACCATCATCATCATTATCCTTACCTTCAAGACATGAACCATCTTCATCATCACGAAGCAGGTATCAACATACTACACAGCTGTAATCTCTTTTCTCCATATTAAAGTCGACCTAATTGTATACCAGTAATTGAAAGAGAACCATTTTTGCTTTTAATGGTCCATATATTTGGAGAGAAAAAAAAAATCATAAACCAAACATCAAATCAAATTATTATATATTATTATATAATCACTTGATTAATGTTTCTGGGACTGAATGCATACCATAGTTCATTATGAAACCATCTACATTATGTCACTAAGGACTCTAAAGAAAGACACAGACACATAAGATTTCTTGAGAAGAGATATGTCAAAATCAGACATTCAAATTTAATTTTGGTAGACAAATTAGCCGGGCTCACCTAACAAAAGAATCACATAATTTCTCTTCATTAAACTACAAGAAATTCAAAATCCATTCCATAATTGATGCAATATTTAAACATTTTACACACACAAATACATATACACACACACACACAACAAAACAAAATTGACTTGCTGAAAGGGGAAATCACAATTTTACAATAAAAATCAATTAATTCAATGAATTATTCAATTCAATTTTCATTAATTAAAAATTTGTTTCAAAGAATTTCTCAAATCTTTAAGATCCCCCTATCCCTTGCGAGTCTTATGTCTATATCTACACAATATTCTATCCATTAAATGTACACACATAAAACCAGCTCCCCAGCTATTCATAATACATATATACAACATCATTATTCAATCATCATTTCATTAAAAATTGACAATAATTTCTTAAAAATCCACTGGCTTTTCAAAAGCCGAGCGGGTGATTGTAAAATTCCAGTTGAGAAAAAAAATTCACAAATTTACTGAAAGAATGTCGGAGAATATTACAATATTGAACTAATCAAACCTTTACAGATATATATACATTTTTAAGAATCACTTTACAAGCTAATATGCACATCCATGATGGGTAAAACACACGCATTGCTAAATAGAACTAATTCTCAATTTTTCCTGTTGGAGTATTTCAAGAACAACATGCTCAAATATCCCTCTTCTGGGTACTATTTCACTCTTTTACTGGTTCATGATTCAAATTCATCCTAAGATTTAAAAAAATACCTTTCCATTTATGAGTTACATCTATTTCAATTCGTTACAAAGAAGACCATGACTAGAATCACTGCCCGCAATATCTCTCTGTATCTACGACAGAAAAAAGAGAAGAAGTAAAACATGAGATATCTCAACGCATAATGTAAAGATACAACAGCAAATAATAAATACTAATTGGACAGTGTTTGAGAATAACTTGAAAGCACTTGCAAATGTGTGATCATTCTTTGAAATGTAACTTTCCCCAATTACACGATATGCTCTTTATACATTTTGAAAATATCTTTTTGCATTCCTTTGTAATTTTCCTTTCAGAAACAAGTTGACCACTTTCATTAAAAAAGGAGACATATGGATATTTAAATCCCAATTCTATCAAATTTGGAGCAGCAGCATTGTTCTCAGTCAACTGTGACAATGTAAAAAACAAAATTGAAAATGATAAAACAGCTTTAAAACAAACACATTTTAAGCTGAACTTTTTCTTTAAAAGAGAAAATAAAGAAGGAATTGAATGAAAAGTTGAGAGGTAGGTCGGAATAAACACTTCCAATTTATCATAGTGAGGAACACTGACTTGGGATAACATATATATTTCTAGAGAAAAAACACTTTGTCAAAAGACACTTTCCCTGGCAGAGTTTGTTTGCAACGATAATATCATGAGCTGTATTTCACCAGAAGCATGTTTCCTCCTTTGCAACATGATGAAGGTATAACCGTTATATTACTATCAAAATTGTATGGGGAAGCCAAGTCTATATACCCACATTTCAGTTTTCTTTAAAACATTATTTCACATATGTATAATACTCAAATGATACACTTGAGTTGGCTCATGAAATACCTTTGGAAAATAGACTTGCATTTCTAGCACTTTATCAAACACATAGATGTAGTAACACAGCACAGCTTTTTACAATTAAAAATCTGAGGAATATATAAAAAGAACTTCATTTTTCCACAAATCGTTAGGAATTTCAGATTAAAATTTATCATTATTTTCTCTGTGATTTAATCAGAAATATATATTGAATCTATGACATTTGTATTTCTATACAAAATTTTGGTCCTGGATATTTCTAGCTAATACTAGAAGTATTTCCGCGATTCACGAAACAGTCGAGAGAATTAAGAGGGAGTGCATATACTCTATGAATATTGCACTCACGGACAAGATTACTTGACATACATGGTTCGAGAAAACATGTTTCTTTCAGGGACAATAATTAATAACATATGTTATAATATCATTGCATACGATTGGATTATGCATATATTCTCTGCATAGACATGGTATTCACAAACTAGGGAAAAGACATAGGAAATGGAACATCAACAACATCCCGATTACTATTCAAGGGGATTGCTGAATGGTATAGTCAAAAGACCAGGTCTTGATTTCAGTTGAAAGCCTAAAAGATAAAAAACCTGAGCTTATATTCTTTTATCAAACCCATTTTTGATAGGGCCCAGTAACAGTGGGGAAAGCGTATGAGGCCAAAGTCACTGTCGTATTCGTGGAGGGAGTAACTGCACATTTGGTGGGGATCTGGGATTTCTCAACCTCTGTCTTCTTCTTCTTGGCTGCCACCGATTCCTTGTTGGAGTCGTCCGTCGTGGCTGGACGTTTACCCTTCTTACCACCCTTCCCACTGGGGGATTCCCCGTTTTCTTGTTCCAGCGACCGTGCAGCCATCTTCTTCTCATAGAGTTCCAGACCGTGGTTCCTGTACGTCATCCTCTTATGCTGGTAGAAGACCAGGCTGATACGAGTCGGCCGCTGCCTGCAGGGGTTTTGAACAGACGTGGTTGCATGCAGCTCTCGCTTTGCACACTCAAAGAGAACAGAGCCATGTGTAAGGGCAATTGCAACCCCACCAATAGTCGGGTCCTCAAAGCACTTATCGCTGTCGGAGAAGTACTCCTCCTCAGACCGCGCAGGTGGAGGGGTGTTCATGGGATCCTGAAGACTTGGGATAGGGAATATTGGTTTTATGTCTTTGCCTTCATGAGGTGTTAACCTCTCAGGGTGTGCTGCCTGGTGAAGGTGATGGGGATCAGACTTGCCTTTGGACGACTTCCCCTCGGACTTGTGATGATGGACTGGCTTGGAGCTTGGGGTGTCGTCCCTAAATATGTAGGGGTCTCTGGGGTCACCAGGCCTGATGGATTTATCTACGGAGGGGGAGTAGGCAGGTGACTTCTGAGGGGTGCGGGATTCTGGGGGGCGAGAGCTACTGTTACTGCTGCTGCTGTGGTGATGTCCTCCAGAGTTGGGCTCTTTCTTGGGACTGTCTTGGAATATTGGAGGTCTCCAGATGCCATCTTTGTGTGAGTGGGATGAGGAGAGGTGTGGCTGAGCTGATGATGTCGATGACGATGTCGCTGATGAAGATGAGGTTGGATGGTGCGCTTGGCTGGTATGAGGGTGATGAGGATCCGGCCGGACACCGTTCAAGGTAGGGGAAGGAAACTTGGAAGAGGCGTCACTTGGAAGGTGTGACCCCCCTTCACGGCCTGGTTCCCTTCCCTGAGGTGATGTCAAGTGAGGACTCAGGTACGGACTATAAAAGCCTTCAAGTCGAGGATTGTTCAGCATGGATGGGTCTGGCTTGATGTCTGCTCCATATTGCGCAGCAAGATGCATGTAAGGGTTTGACGATTGTCCCCCGTAAGGATCCTGCCCAAAGGGAGCCATGAATCTTGCAAGGGCTGCAGGGTTGTTCTGAAGCTGCTCTCGAAGCATGATGTCTGCCATTGCAGGGTGAACGTACCCAGGAGGGAGGAAGCGAGCGTAATGAGCGTACATGTGGGCCAGCTCTGGAGGTATGGAACCGCCGGGTGTCAGCATCTCACGATGCAGTCCATTCATCATCATTAGGGCATGAGAGTCGGGACGTAATCCCCCGACCATTCCTGGAGGTATCTCCATCCCTGGCCATTGCGCCCTCAACGCCTCCATGCTTTGCTGATAGTGTGGCCACATCTGCATCGTCTGAGGATTCATGTGTGGAGGCACTGGCTGCTCAACCTTGGGTATCCCATGACCAGCCGCCGCCAACTCCTTCTGAGCCGCCGATGCCGCTGCAGCCGCCCTCTTCTCGTGCTCCCTCTCCCTTTCTCTCTCGTGCTCCCTTTCCCTTTCCCTCTCGTGCTCCCTCTCCCTTTCCCTCTCCTTCTCCTTTTCCCTCTCCTTCTCCTTTTCCCGTTCCCTCTCCAGCTCTCTCTGAGCCGCTGCGGCGGAAGCAGCGGATTTGGCTCTTCCCGGACTTGAGTTACTGCTTGAGGAGTTCCTAGACTTCATGGCACCTTTGGGCACCACGGGGTCTCCACCATGAACCCTGATCTTGTGTCGATAGTGGGTGAGTACCTCGATAGATCCGTTGCGGACTTTGTTCTGTTGTCCTTCGGCGGTGCCAAACTCATCTGTGCTGTCAAGGTAGTAGAGGGGCAAGACGTGGAGTTGTTCGTCGCCGGGAGAAGGACGTTTATTCCGTATGTCGTCTTTCGTTAACGTCACAACCTGCAAGGTGCGAAAAAAACAAACATAAAGCTTAGTATAACTGGTACAAATATGTATTTCAAATCCCACAGGCCTAACTTTGTAAACCATATGACTTTTTAATGTATTGACATCACATGGAATTGACATCAAATTGTGAAATTGATAACAAGAAAACACTTATTGCAAAAAACAAAGCATATCTCTTGGTGCTATATCATACCATAGTTTTTTTTAAACAACTGTCTAATTGGTTACAATATATTACGATGTTACCAAAAAACGTTGAATATCTGATTTCTTAAAAATGCAGGCATTCCAAATGCAAATGGTTGTTATACACTCTTACTCAGATCTCAACTCTAAAAAATATAAACATTTACAACATGTGTTCAGTAGCCCCTTTTTGTTTTTGCAAACACTTTTAATCTTTGTTACTTCATCATTTCAGAAATGCGTTAGGATAAAAAATCCTTTACTTAGTTCAGAACTATGTGATACTCCAAAGACCTGTTTCACAAAGCCTTTTTTCAATGACAAATCTGCTGCTAACCAATCAGAAACAAGGATTTCAGTAGCTTATAACGAAAACTGTCATTTGTCACTCATGACAAATTTTGTGAAAATGGGGCCCAGGACTGCATTACTTACCACAGTACAGCCGTTGTTCATGTTATGTTGGTCTTTATGGGCATGGGCACAGAAGTCCATACAGGCAGTAACTCCTGCAAATGGCCTCCCAGTCTCTTTCCCCAGCCGGCACTCCTTGCCCTCCTCCTCAAACACCACCATGTTGTTGAAGGACTCGGGAGCCAGGCGCTTGTAGAGAGGGCCCAGGTCGGTGGCCATGTTCTGGAAGCGGTCCGATAGTACGTCCTCCTGAAAATGGGAGAAGAAGGATGCAACATATTATGATTTCAATTTGCTATAAAAGTGACTCATTGCCTCAGATTCTGAAACAAAATCCTGGATTTGGCTCATGCTGCGATCATAATTATAAATCTTTAGGTCAGTCAGGAATCCCATGACTTTTACAAGCCGATTGCCCGTCTGATTATCAAGATATTTATGAATAAAAACAGAAATTTCTTTTTTCCTTTTCCTAATGATTTCATAACACTACAGTCTATTGGGGAAAATGAGTATATAATTTGTGACAGTGTTTAAACTTTATGTTTCACACCTTTTCAATTTCTAAGACTTGTTCAAATGAAGTGAAAGAATTATATGTTTGGGATGTCTTCAAGTTTCAAGACATTTCAAAGAACCTTGGTTGCAAAACAAAAGATATCATTGCTAAGGAGACTTTGTTTTAAATTGGCAATATGTTCACACTTTCTTCAAGTTCTAAGACCTTTCGTGGAAGATTGATTGAGAACTAAAAGATACGTCCTTGGCTAAAGAGAGACATTGTTTTGGCAATGTTCATAGTCGCATTTTCTCAAAAACCCTGACAGAATTCCATTGCTTCAGGATGTTCACACTTTCTTCAAGTTCTAAGACATTTTGTGGAAGATTGGTTGAGAACCAAAAAATATGTCCTTGGCTAAAGAGAGACTTTGTTCTGGCAATGTCCATAGTCACACTGTCTCAAAAACCCTGACAGAATTGTTTCAGAATGATCTCCCAATAGACTTGACCTCATCAGCTCGAGGTTGCCGAATAGCCTGCTATTTCTGATTTGGGAAATAATCTTGAAGTTACAAATCACGTCCTCATCAGCTCAGCGAGACTTGACCTCGAAACTTGAAACTCAAGCTCGCGAAATTAGCTCAAGATATTTTGCTCAGCGTTCGCGCATAGTGCGAGTCTTCGACAAATAACAGGATATTTTGCAAACTAGCCCAAGATATCTTGGGATGATTATCTCGACCAAATATCCAGTTAATTGCAACTTCAGGCTGATGAAGACGCAAATTAACTGGAAAATTTGCGATCGGGATAGTTCAAATTGCGGGATATTTGGCAATCTTAAGCTAATAAAAACAGGCCTAGAGATGGGCCTTAGGTACTTACCACTTCAGGATTGGCCTCTAGGAGCTTGAATTTCCTGGGGGTCCTGCTGCGGGCAAACTTGCAGGTGTTGTAGTACATGGACCAGGAGCAGCCAAAGGTGAAGGATGCCCCGCAGGAGTCGGGACTGAACCCTTGACAGGCGCACGTTTTACTGAAGAAGTGGACAAAAAGAAATAGTTCAATGAGAGAAATTTGAAGGCCCTTCTTGAGCTTGTATCAAATAATGCATCAAATGAAACATTTTTTTATGTAAATTTATCTTCATAATGCCATAATACAATTCAATAATATTTGGTAGCGTATGGACATGACTTGTCCAACAAGATATTATATTCTATATATTTGAAAAGAGAAAATCAGTGAAAAAAAGATTTTCATCACTAACAGGCCTGCTGCTACAATTCCATTACAGTAACCAAAGATAAGCACGACGTGCCATGTAGTTTTTGGCCCCGTTTCATAAAAAATGTTATAAAAATAAACAAGTGCTAACATTTAAAGAATGAACATCCAGAGCAATCAGAGCTTTCGTCAAATGACAAGATGGAAAAGTTCTTACAAAATGCTTTTACAAATGTGCTCTCAGCCAATCATATGGAATTAGTTAATTGGCTAACAACAGTTTTTTTAATTGGTATTGATAACAAGTGTTATGAAACATGGCCCTGATCAATATTCTATCGATGACTTACTCTTCATTTGTCCCGCATCTTCTGACCGTAGGGATGGCACCGTTGGGCAGCGTTGTCCGCAGCATCTCGTAGGTGTCGTCGGCCACGTAGTTGTTGACCCCTTCCCATGCCACGATGGCGATGATGATGTACGACGTGTCGCAACGATGTCCTGGACGATGACGGACCAGGACGAGGATCTTCTCGTCCGTCGACGACCTTCGGATGATCTACAATGAATGGCAACAGGAAAAGTTGTTACTGAATGCAATTTGATTTGGTTTGGAGGATAGAGCAATAGTTCTAGAAAAGAGGTAATCTCCATGACCCATGCTCTGGAATCCGGTGTCAATATCCTAAAGTAACTGAATTCCAAACTTCAACCCTCGACCAAATACAATAACTGCACTTAAACCCTAACCTAAAACCCAATGTCAACCTGGGCCCCGTCTTATAAAGAGTTACGATTGATTTGAATCAATCGCAAGACCTCTAATCAATCACAAGTTTGAAGTCTCCCATCTCTACAGTTGAGATTGATATCAACTCTTTGTTAGACAGGACTATAATCCTTTATTTCTGACAAAATAAATTGTAGAGAAAATGTTGACGGAGCATGTGTAGCATTACTACAATGGCATATGGCTTGGTGGATAGAGCGATGGTCTTGGAAATTAATTAACTTAGGTTCAAGACCAAGTTGGTACGCGAGTGTCTTTGATCAGGGTAATTAACTTCAGTCCCTCAGATAGGATTTAAAGATGATGGTTCAAGATAGTGTACAAGCACTTGGGTAAAATGAACATTAAAAATGAACAGTCAATCGCTCTTTAGAGAGATTAAGCTGAACATAGCCTCTCTAAAAAAGAATGCATCATCATGCATTTTCCCGCTGACTGATTAACTGTTGAGTTTCACTTTCAATACGCTCACATATCCACCTTCTGAGTATTATCTATCTGAGGTTGCATCTGCTTCGGGTACCGATCACATCTGGATTGGGAAGTGACTTGGGTACCTTGATCAGGGGGGTGTTTCACAAAGACTAAGATCGACTTTAAGTTGGACTTAACTATGGCAGGCCGTTCATGTCACTGTTTTCTCTCACCATTTACTGGCCTTGGTCTCTCAAGGGGCGTACAAATCATGGTTACATATCTACAGAATTTACATTTTTGTTATAGTATCTAAAGATCATAATTGAGAGACCAATGGTGAGAGCAACTAGTGGCATGAATGGCCTGCCATAGTTATGTTCAACCTAAAGTTGATCTTAGTCTTTGTGAAACACCCCCAGGTCCACAAAGAACAACCCTACAGGTTACTAGAGGAGATAACTAATCACTTCCCACTCTACTATCCCGGCTGGCAAACACACCCTTGCTCAATATGCTCAATATGTAACTACGACGAGAGTTGTACGATACATGCTCTGCAGCTAATTTTGTAAAATGGGGGAATCGCTGACTTCAACCACTGATGGAAGTATATACCAAACCCCAACCCTCGAACCTAACCTTTAAGTGGGACCGCACTACTTGTACCTACTTGCGCCCTCTATATAGCAAACAATGGCTAAGCGGTCCCTTTTTTCTTACGTTAATTGAGAGCTGATTTGATAAGATAACCACCTGTCAGTGACCACGCAGTGAGGTCTAATCCCTCCTAGCCAAGCTAGTGCAGACAGGCTTTAAACAGAGTCGCAGCCCTAACCCTGTATCTTTGAAAAGATAAATCCTGGAGCCCAGGTCAGATCAACGAATGCAACTACTCTCATTCCCCACTTGTGACAAAGTTAGGAAGTTGGTTGGTGTAGGAATTCGACCTCAGAGCACTTGTCGCCGAAGCATGATGCACACATCAATTTCCTTGTGCTCTCCACCATCAACTAGTTGCTATTAAAGATCCAAACGTTATTTAAAGATGATCATGCGTGGGTATATAATCGTTCGTGAAGAAGGCAACTTGGGAACACTAAGTCAGCGGGTTTTACCCTCCTGTATGGACGTACGCATAAAGGGATACTAGTATGAACGGGAGCGTAATATCCGTTGGCTCAGTGTGCTGCCCTCTATATACCTATGCATGACCAACTTTAACATTTCAAACCTTGACTTACCCATTTTGCGATGGGACATCCCGTTGAGCTCTTGCCTTCCTTGCCGGAGTAGACGACCTTCTCTATCCTCACCTGACTACCTTGGAAGCCACTCCTGAAGGGGTAAAAAAGAAACAAAACCAGAGAGAATGGTTAAAGATAAGCTTGAGTTCTGGTAATGATAGAAAATAAATTCTCACAATATTCAACAAAACTTGCATTGAATGTTCAAGATTACAAATAAATGATATGTGCAGAACAACTTTGGTAGAAAATGTATAGGGGCTGAGTAATGAGCATAGAAAGATAAGTATAATATCCATGGTGGCTTTCTAAAAACTAAAATCTATTAATGAAAGACAGTATGTGTGAATTTTCTGTTGTGTTCTTTCTCAGTTGAAATTTAATTTGTCCTATATCCACAAAAAACAACAGATCCTCAATATTTTTTTTCTTCATGAAAGTTTTTGGGATATTTCTGTTTTGCTCAGGCCAATGACAATCCTAAAAATGAAATTATCAATACTCTATTCCATTTCTTTTCCACAGGTTACTTCAATGGTAGACGATTTCCGCCAACAATTCTTTCTTTTCTTTTCACCACGGCGTAATAACATTGTAATTTAGGAGCTACGTCATAATAAAAAGAAAATCAAATTGATCACGGAAATCAGCCACCATTATAATTCTAATTTTCCTGAGTTTTAAACAATCTTTTCAAGCCAACATCACTCTTTGTTCCGTGCTATAAACTTGAGAATTGGAAACCAATACTAAACAGGCATCACATAACTAGGTATAATATACAACTACACTTTTTTCTTGAGGAAGTTCCATGCTTGCCGCAGTGAAGCAGTGAGTGTGTCCTTCGAGAGAGAAAAGGAAGCTTGAATTATAACAAACATTTCCTGAACAAAACCTGCTGCCATAAATCAAAATACATGCTATAGTAGTCTGAATGACCAGGTATGCCAAGATACAAATGGTTTTATTAAAAAGATCGTAATTGAAATTCTAATTCGATTCTCAAGGGTCACCCCCCCCCCCTCCCCTTTTTGATTGCATTTCTGTTTTGAAGAAATATTCTATTTTTTATTGTTTATTTGTATTTATTTATTCTTTTATTTATTGATCTATTTATTAATTCATCTATTTATCAATGTTTCCATTTATTTATTAATTAATTAACATATAATCATATTTTTTGGGGGTGAGGGGGGTATTGTGCACCAGGTTCCTGCTCACTTCCAAAGTTAGTGTTATTCAATTAAATTTTGGGGGACTGTGTGTACCGGACCCCTATTAGTGTCAAACTTTTAATTCGCATGATGTCATATAAACATAAGACTAACTTACTTTAATTTGTATTGCATTTCAAAGGGGTAGAGACATGATAAACTCTATAAAATGATACATATTTGAAATTTTGAATCCTATACAGCTTTGTGCTGTAGTTATAATAGATTATTACATTTATAACATGCCTTTTCATTAGATACAAAGCGCATTATAAATACATAACATGTTTAGTGAGATATTTCAAGTTCCTTTAGGCGAATACAGGATGTCAGTGTCACCCTATATTTAATCTCATTCTCTGCATGGCTGGATGAAGGCAGTTCAATAGTCATCCGCCACGAATGAGTAGGTGCTAAAGATGGCCATAAATAACCCCACAGGAAAGCACGAAATGCAAGTGACATCCCGCACTCAATATAGGAGAATTCCAAAATTAGATATCAGCAAGGTTAGGTAAGGGTGTCAGAAAGAGAAAGAGAGAGAGAGAGAGGGTAAGAACGGGGCAGGGGGGGGGGGGGAGGGAGGAGAATTTTTTTTTTAAGTTGACAAAATGGGAAAGGATAGAGACAAGGATTATTAGGACGTGGGAAAGTGAAGAAGATGGACGACTGGGCTAAAAGCAAAAGGGATGGAAGGGCAGGGGAAGAGAAAGAAAAGAGTTTTACAGGAAATGTAACATTTATGAACACGAGGGGAGGAAAGAAGAAAGAGGAAAACAGGAAAACAGAAAAAGTGTAGAAGAGATAGGTGGCCAGAGACAAATGGATACAGAGAGATAATAATTGATAGTTAGATAGAGAAAGAGAAAGAGGGAGAGAGAGAGAGAGAGAGAGGGGGAGAGAGAGAGAGGGGGAGAGAGAGAGGGGGAGGGAGAGAGAGAGAGAGAGAGAGGGGTGGAGGGAGATGGTGAGTGGAAGGAAAAATACAGAGAAGGGAGAGCAAGAGGAAGTTCTGAAAAGATTACAGGTGAACAAAGAAAGAAGAGGAACTGAAAAGGAAGCACCTTGTAGTACTTACAAGGCTCTCTTAACGACATGAAACCAGAAAACAAAGTAGAACAAGGCGCAGATTAGAGTGTCAAAACCACACGTGAGCGAGAAATAAATAGCACAAGCTTGATGCATTGGACAGGAGCTTGGTTGCGAGCCAAACGAGGGCAGTGCAACGAACGAGGGGCCTCCGTTGAGAGATCGGGGTGAGAGTTTTTATGAATGACGCAGGCTCGCAAGCGAGGAGGAAGCGTAATTCTGCGGTCGATACTCCCAGCGAGGGTTGACTCCGGACAGAAGATTGTATTACCCTCGTTGAGATGATGTTATTGGAGTACGACCGGTTTCAGGGTTCACGCAACATTGTTATGGTGTGTACTCGGTGGATAAGGGGCTCTATTTCATTGCTATGTACATATGATCATGAGTCAATAAACACCGTTATTAAATGCTATTGCGATTTCAATCATCGTTTCAATCATCGTTTTCATCAGTTGTCCAAAGCCTTGTTCACACAAGATGTAGAAAAAACACATTAAACAAGAAATAAATAGAGAAGAAAGAATGAAAGAAAGAAGAAACAAGGAAGAAAGAAAGAAAGCCTTGCAGCAAAATAAAAGTAGTGTAAATGTAGGGTGATACATATTTCTCCATCTTGTAACACGCGGATATGCTTAGGGGCTTGTTGATGCTCGCAGCCACTCTTTTCAACCTCACTTGCCATGGTTTCTTATTTTTGCAGCAACTGCTTTTCAGAGGTAGTTTCCTGTGTGATAAATGTACAAGGCTTTAAAGGGGAAGTCCCCAACCTGATATTATCTTTGTTTTAAGAAAAGTAGAAAACTGATCCATTTCTTTTAATTTTCTGCTTCTATCAAAACCAACTCAATATCAGGGTGGACTTCCCCTTTAATCCACCAGCTCATCCCAATCCTCTATTGAATGATTGATAATAATTACCTTATCTCAACAAGTTCTCTGATTGCTGGTAGGTTGGGACCTGTTCCCAGATGAGTGTAGTAGGGTGCCTCATCCATGTCATTTTCTGTTCATAAAATGAAACCAAGACAGCGATGAAATTAAACATCAGGTTTTAAGAAAGGATATATGGTTTAAATGCAAGGTGATGACAAGAAAATTTCTTGAAGAAATAATTAAAAAATCAAAATTTAGATGGCATATAATATGAAATTCTATATATTAGCACTTCAGGTTGTATCACTTTTTTTTCTTTTGGGAGTTATTCAAATGGAGGAGTTTAGCATCAGAATAAAAAGCTGAAGCAAGGCTATGTCTGTAGCTTTTAATTTGAGCAATTCGTTTACATGCACATTGTCAGAAATATATCTGAATGCCTAAAATGATACGTTACACTGACAAGTACAATGAGGCTGAATAACAGAAGGATGGTAACTCCATTTTTTTAAATTAAAAAAAAACAAGAAAAAAACAACAACATATTCTCTTCTGTGATATTGGCTCATTGGAGAAAACTGAATCATGTGACAAAATTTCAAATTGTAGGTCTTAAAATAACTTTACCTAAACAACCACAATTTGGAGCCTCGATGCGAGCATCTTCAGAGATTAACTGCATGTGCTTCATTTCTGGAGTCTCGATCACAGGTTTATCCGTTGATCTGGGCGGCGTCTGAAGACCCTTCTCTAACTTCTGCCTTTCCATGAGGGAATCTACGGTGGGTGGGGTAGGGTGCAGGGTGGTTCCCTTACCGCCCCCTTCCACTTTGTCCCCTGTACCCCCCTGGATGGCGTGAGTGGAGCTGATCCCATGAGAGCTCATGGAGAGAGCGGTCTTGGCCAACCCCATCCTACCGTCGCTCTTCTGCATGATGGTTGGTAGCATGATGTTGCTGTAGGGGCTCGGCGGGACCTGTCGGGCCATCTTCTGGACTTCTGCTCTGGCAGCGACCCCATCTGGATGGGCAGGTTCCAGTGGGTTCAGGGGAATCTTTGTAGGGGCACCTGAAGACGGGGAGGAGATCTCAGATGGGCGGGGCCCAGGAGTACTTTTGGATCCAGTGCTCTCTTTTTTAACCGGTTGGGGAAGAGGTGCTAGCATCATGGTGCTGACTGAGGGTTTGGCATGACTGAAAGAATTACCGACTGTGAATTGGTTGGTTTTATCAGGTAGTGTAGTACTTAATGAAAGCAAGGACTCTGCAGCATCGACTGGGGAGAGGGACTTCTTATCTGGAGGAGGTATAGGAGTTCCAGTGACCCCAACCACCGGGGAAAGGATCTCTTTCTTTATAGGGATATGATTGTTGATTTCTGGTTTATGTGGCATTGATAGGTGATGAGGGTGATGGGGGTAGCTTTGGGGTGGAATGCTTCTGTGAGCTGCAGCAGCTGCTGCGGCGGCTGCTGCAGCTATCTCATGGGGATCAGCAAGTTTCTGCTGCTGCTGCTGCTGTTGCTGCACCATCTTCTCATAGTAATGTCTCTCTGCCAATTCTCTTGCCATCCCTGGCGGCGTGTGTGCCGGTGCGTGAGGCTTACTGACTGAATCAGGAGTGGGGGAGAATGCGGACAGACCATGTTCCTTGCCCGGTTTGCCCTGCTCCACCCCCTTGGCAGTCTTTGGTGCCGGCTCTCCTGGAGACATCTTAGGAAGCGCTTCCTTCCGAGTCAGCTCCTGGCCTGTCTTTGGTGCATCTTCTCCCTTGAGTTGTGGCTGCGACTGTGGCAGCTGTGGTGACTGCTGCTGTTGTGGTTGTTGCGGGTGCTGGGGAAGGTGGTGGTTGGGTAGATGGTGAGGATACTGGTCCGAGTAGCCATTCATCATCTGCGGCTGGGCCGGTGGTGCGTTGGGTCCTGCAGGATTCCACTGCATGACCTGGCCGTTCTTACCCACCACTTGGTTAGGTGGTGCTCCATCAGAGACCGGCACGTTGGGTAGGTACGACATGTCCTGCCCATCAGTCCCCCCCTGCAGAGTCAACAAAAGAAAGAAAAGTAAAGGATAATTGCACCTGATAGCAAATTAATTTTACCAATTGAATACAAGTATCACTTAGTTCTTTTGTTGAGCCAAGAGGAATAAAAGAATTTAGTAGGTTTGCAGGTAATTTTAGTTCATGTTAAGACATACATATACATTATGTCGCATTTGAGAGAACTTGCTTTGTTACTTTTTAACAATAATCAACACTTTATATCTAGACAAACAGGGTCCAAAATGAACCACATTGGCAATTTCTGAATTAAAACACAGATACTTTTTACAGTTGTTGGTATTTTGCGCAGTATACCAGGAATTCCATTAGACAATCTGTAGAACTTCAGGAAGCAAATGAACACATCCACTCATAAGACAAGATGACTTTGGAAAAGTAGTACGAGTAAACTAAAGCACAATCTGTTAAACAGCTGAATCATACCAAAGGAGTCATACTCAAGAATGGGATCACTGCTTCGATGGATGTCTCGGAAAGACTTATTTGGTAGAGGGGGAAAAACAGTGTGCGAGTACAATCTTCTTGATACCATATTCAAATCCCTCTCAGCTTAAAGTCTAGTCTGGACTCATGAGGACTCAATCTACTGAAAGAACATGTGCATCATGTGTAATGTTCCCCATACCCCATTTCTTCTCTTCACAATGAAAGGAGAGACAAAATAAACCAAACTGACCATTCTATTGAAGGAAAGCACCTCTACATTATGTATCATGAATTTTCTGTACATAGAATCACCAAAGAACACAATAGCCAAGTCTCATTTGCACCAAAAAGGGCATTTCCTTTTAAATGAAGTCCTTTTGTGAGAGACAGAGGCCTAAGAGAAGTGCGCAGACAAGCAAACAGATGGGCACGGATCAAGGCGGATCATCCCTCTACACAGAGTGGGATCAACACACAACTCATTGACGGCTCAGCCTTAGCCGGAAACCGCATCAAGTCCAGATCTGCGATATAGAGTCTGGCTTTCCAGCTGGTAATGGCAAAATGCGTTCCCACTAACTTTAACAGTTATCTTCACAATAATTAATTTCAAGAGAATGAACTTTCAAGACGATCAGAGAAAGATGTTAATCAATTCCCTATCTCAACCACAGGTAATGACAACGGTGCAAATTTCCATTTGTCAAAAATAGATTCATGAGGGTCTTTTCTCTATCCAGGAACTATTTTGAGAAGTCCGCAGAAAACAGAAATTAATGATATTTTTGTTCCCGACAAATGGGAGAGGTATCAGTCACTGCGCCACAATCCACATCACTGACTTGAGATTCACGTAGACCAAGTGATCACGTTTTTCAATCATTCATGATTTCTTAGTATTGTATTTTTCCTTTCTTCTGCTTTCATACAAATAAAGTCATCATAAAAATAGAGGTAAAATGTACATAACAGATGCACATGAAGTAAAAATTAATATCATAAAAAATACATGCAAGTGCTCCTTTTGTGCAGATGTTCTTTCCATTGAAATCAAATTTGGGTAGATCCTTAGAAACGGTGCAGGTTTGATTGCTAAACCAGACACCATTACATCTGCCCATACTACCATGGAACCCCAGAGCAATAAAACTTGTGACAACACATCAACAGGATCATTTATATATAACCTACTTTCTATAAATAGGTCTCACTGTTTTCCCCTATTTTCCCCTATTCCCAAATGTCTCATTTTTGTTCCACCAGACAGGCCCCAGGCAGATTGTACATCGTAAATGTTGAATATTGGGGTCCATTGAACTCTTGCCTATAAAAATGGTTCTTTTTGCATACTGCATGCAATGTTTTGACTAATATTGTAGACTTATGGTGTGAAGTCGTACATGTATGCCGGACAGCTACACACAGTATTGATGCATCTCTACAGGAATAGAAAAAGAACGAATGACAAAAATCTAATAAAAAATTACCATAGTCCGTCTGCCCCAGCGCTCAAAATACACGGGGGCGGTGGGCGATTCGCCCCCGTGAGCTCCATAATCGCCCCCGTCAGGTTGCTCACGGGGGCGATTGCAAAATTAAAAATCGCCCCCGTGGAATTATAAAATAAAGATTATCTTTTCTGATATAACTTTAACACAATATTGAGTATTAATTTTCAAACCTTAAACCAATGAAATGGAACTTAGATGGCGCTTTCTCTACCATCTCTACGAGTATTCCCGATACAAACAACGGAAGCTCGCGGTGCGGCCGTCAGCAGTGGCTTTACTGCGCTGGTAGTACCGGTGTGCACGCTGACGCCCAATATCTGCTGGAGCTGGAGATCGACAATCGCGCAAGGACTGAAACATGGAGAAGTTTTTCGTTGTGAAAGTTTGAATCCTCTGAAATCTGGTGATTCTTAAAGACCAGCAAATAATGTAACCCGACCATTAAATCAATGTTGAGAAGAAGAAGAAGGCATAAGATGTTGCAGGGGCGGATCTAGGCGGTTTAGAGGGTTTACCCCCCCCCCCTCCCCCTTGGGCTGCCAAGGAAAGATGTGATGTGCACAGAAAAATGCTATCATGTGTCCAGACCTACACAGTATTAGTAGATGTCAGTAGATGCCAGGAAAACATCACTAACGGGGGTTCAAAAAAGCACCAACAAATCGCCTCGCCGCTTCGCAGCTCGTGGACGATGATCCGCATGTTAGTAAATGCCAGGAAGACACCACTTACGGGGGTTCAAAATAGCAACAACAAAAATCGCCTCGCCGCTACGCGGCTCGTGGACGATGCTCCACATCGTATTTGGGGTACCCCACCGGCCCACCCCCCCCCCCCACCCTTAGCAAAAAGCTTGATCTGCCCCTGTGTTTTGGAAGGATATGGTAAAGACTAAAAGTAAAGAAAGAATGTAAATAAGTCAATAACAGCTATGTAACAAGTAAATTTCTAAGAGGAAAAATACTGACTTAGATAAATGATAATGATAAAATACCAAAGAATTTCACGGGTACCAATTCAATGGAAATTTGTATTAAAATAAGAGCCCCCGTTAGCACGAAAAGCGCCCCCGTGAGAAGACTCACGGGGGCTCTTTTTTTTTGGAAGAGCCCCCGTGGGCAAAAAATTAATTTGAGCCCTGGTCTGCCCCCTCCTCTAGTCAACTGGTAATCGGTTAGGTACCGGTAGATACACGTTAGGTAGATGCCGGTCCTGTATCCTTTTAACATTTTTGTTATGAGCACTCAAACAAAGGCCTACCTCATCTAGGTCACACACAAAAAATAGGCCCAAATGAGGTCAAGTGTGTGTGTGTGTGTGAACAAATAAAAGCAATTCTATGCCTTACTTTATGCCTAAATTGGGTAATGTTTGGATCAACTACGGTTACAGAAACCATACAATACAGCATGAAAGAAAAAGATTGAAATAGAGTGTAATTGGTTTACACTTTACAACTTCTACCTACATTACTACCTGCAGAAACGGAAATACATACATGTGTACATGTAAATGATTGCCAGAACTGGTTTACACTACCTCTCTTCAATGGCAACTATACTACACTACAGCAGTTTTGTTCTTACTTCTTGAGGGCACTTAATTACAACAATTCACAAACAAGTTTACAGACTTCCTAACCCAACACACAAACCCTGAGTTTCATTTTTTTCTTCTTCTCCGTGCTTGTAGTAGTTTGTCCTCATCTGAGGTCAACTTGAGGGCAACCCCCTGTGAAGCTCTCTCCTCCCTCTATCCCAGATCTGAGTCATAGTCTCCTTTCCCAAACGCATGACGCAGTTTCGATGCGCATTCACGTAGCGAGTGAAAGAGCCATGGAAACTAGCACACACGTGAAACTTCTCAACGTCAACATGCCCAGTTTTCTGTGCTATACAGCCTTACAGGGTTTGCTTACGACTTTGGTCCTGTTTGGAGTGTGGTTTGTTAATTATGTTTATGTAAAGAGGTCTGAATAGATGAGACTAGGCTAGGTCAGGGCCTGCCAATTTCCCTCCCACTGAGGATAAACAATGGGAATGTGGAATGCAGGTTGTGTACATGTAGTAGCCTGATTCAAGACTGTCTACATTATCAAAACATGAGTGTTTGAATAATAACAGTAAGACATGTAGTAATACCCCCTGTCCACACACAACATTTTCCGTGATTAATCATGATTAGCTATACCGTTTCGCGATAGAGATACCGTTTCGCGATAGTTTTACGACCAAAATTGTAGGTGTGGACGCTCACTAACGATACGTCGTATAACGAAACTAGTTTAACGAAACGCAGGTTTGGGCATCGTTTCGAACTGAAACTCTATAAAGAATCACGCCTAATCACGGAAAATGTTGTGTGTGGACAGGGGGAGTGTAACTAGTGTAACTAACTGGGCGGGGCTTAACGTGACCTCGAGCGAAATGAGACCAGACCTCTTATCACTATCGCGAAACTCTATAAAGAATCACAGAAAATGTTGTGTGTGGACAGGGGGCATTTTATACGACGATTCTTTAGTGACGACGTTTCTTGTGTGTGGACATCCTGGAATTTATACGATGATTCTTTATACGACGTATCGTTATAGAGTTTCGGGATAAATTTTTTTGTGTGTGGACACGCTGATAGTGGGTTCTTGTATACTATAGCGCTCATGTCAGTCATACTTGACACTCCTGGCGCTCGCTCCGCTATTATTACCCCCGGCTTCTGCACGGCTGCCTTTACGGCGCTCTAGCATTTCAAGGAATTAATTCCTACCAGGTACCCATCTACATCCCATGGGTCGAGTGTGGCAAATGTAGATTAATGTCCAGCCAATGGACATTAGTGCTGCGATGACGGGACTTGACCCACGGACCTCGGGATCCACAATCCTGTAATGTATCCACTTGACCATGATGCATGTACCTCTACAACACCTCTTGAAAAGAACTTGACTTGGTTTTAATCTCGGCATTTCATGTAGGCCTACGGTGAATATCAACATAGATAACGTGTACTGTACATGTCAAGCAGAGAAAGCCAGG